AGAGAGAGAGGGGGGGAGAGAGAGAGAGAGAGAGAGAGAGAGGGAGAGAGTGAGAGAAATGGAGCAATTATTTAAGCGGAAGTTGGAATTATGCCATGCTAATCTGATTAATCGGAACTAGAATAAAATGGTATATCATATAGCTGACAATATTACCATAGGTTAAATAAGTTTTCCATGAAAATATTTCATTTCCCAAGATAAGTTGGTATGAGCTAGACAGGAATGCGATTCTCAGCATTCTCTAATATACAATTCAGAAGAAATATGAAATAAAGTGCTTCGTATGATGCATGTATAGAACAGACTTAGCAATAACCTGCTTCTACTTTAGTCAGAGTAGCGCTTTATAACACTGCTCGTAGGCATTTCGGGACTTTAACAGTTGATGGCCCGTGTGTAATTGCTGGTCACAGCCGAAGGACTTTAGTAAAGCAAGGGAAATGCTTTTGCTTGCTAAGCTCAAATACTGAGCCAGCAATGAGGAAGTGCTGCATATGGCATAGGGCATTATTCCGGCAATAATTTCGCAAATGCTGGAGCATCAGGGCATTCTGCTTTGGTCTACCCTTTTTCCGGTTTCGGAGTCTTAAAGAAGCGAGCGTGGGACGTGAAACGGTTGAAGCGAAGGGGGGAGGGGTGAGCGCAGGCTTAAGGCGTCAGCAGAAAGCAGCACTGATTTCGTGCAGTGTTTCGCAACACTGCCAAATAGCAGCATGTCGAGCGTGTTGAGCCTGCACACGCACACTTAAACACTGTGAGTGTGGTGTATGTGTGTGTGTGTGTGTGTAGGCGTGTGTATATAAGTATTTATTTACTTTTTTTTTCATTTTATGCCGCTCAGCGGCGCTTGTAGCTCGTTATGTTGATTGGATTTTGTGCCGCCCGCTTGTATAACGGCGAGAAAGTAGTACACACACACACACATAGATAAATACACACACACACACAGCACGCTCACGCACACTATTAAGGCACTTGCGTTGCTGGCAACGGAATAAAGTCAAGTATTGCGTTTGTGTGTTGCTCTCGCTCTCTCTCTCTCTCTCTCTCTCTGTTGCTCTGCCTGCATGCAACTGCGGCTGTGTGCGTGCCATAAAGCTGGATTCATTTTATTCTCGCCCGTCTCTTTATGTATGCAAAAATTTTGACACTCTCGTTTTCGCAGCATTCTGTTCTGTTCTGTTTTTTTTTTTTTTTTTATGTGTGTGTGTGTTTTTTTTTATGATTTTCGCATCCATTTTTTGCCTTGCTAAATTGTAAGTAAGTGGGCTTAGTAGCATTTTGCAGTTTAGTTGTGTGCGCGCGTGTGTGTAGCGCAAGGATTTGCATAAAGCCCACCTCAGCCGCAGACTTAACTTTAACATTCATCCCGGCTGCCATTTAATAAACATTTCCAATTGGCAGTCAACAACAAATGAAATTTGCCGTGTGCGCCTCTGCTCGCACAGGAAGCGGAATAAGTGCAGCAAAGAGTTCGCGTCACGGCAAAGGTCAAAGTGCACTGCAGGAAATGACGAGAAATTCAATGAAATTCACGGAGTCAACTTTACTCTGGCGCTCTTTGGCATTTGAAATGTTGTGAAAGTTCTCAGTGCCTTTATCAGAGAAATTCCAGCAAATAAATTCAAATGCCAAACAGAAATTATATTGATAGCTTTGGTGGAAATATGCCAGCTA